ATATACAGTGTGTTGTACGTTTCTGAAATATGGTTGTTATTATAAAGCAAACAGTTCTCAAAGACATTTTATGCATGGGAGGATTTGTACATTTGTTTTCTGTTTGTTCTAATTGTTTTAATCGTACATTTTATAGTATTTTACGTCAATACCTCGATTTTGTGTGGATGGTGTTATGTTTATGTATTAAATATACATGTGTAAGGTTGTAGTTGACGTTCACCTCCTTTTGTGGTATGCTCTTCACTTATTTCTCGAGTAAGCTATATAAAAAAGGTAAGGTTGTTATGAATAACTAGAAAGTTTTGCCACACAATTTCTTTGCTATTAGATTTGATACGTCTAATTGACATGAAGAGTGGTAAAAAAATAACCAATTAAGTTGGAGATCACTAAATTAAATTGATCCGTTGTAAGATGTAAAGCAAATATTAGTAATTGAGGATTTAGTTTCCAAGTAATCCTTGCTTGTGAAGTTCAATGGAATTTTGAACATATGAAATCAAGTTTTAATTGCAATGAGCATAAAAATCAAAGATTGTAAAATTATATTGAAAGGCGTGCAGGAAAAGTCTGGACGTGATATTTTATGTTGAAAATATGATTTATATGTGGTTCAACCATTTTGTATCGCTAAAAATCAAATACTAATTTAAATTATATAATAAATTTCTTACGACCAAATCGTGAGATGTAATAGACAAATTCATAATTACTAATTATCTAATTAGTAATTATAAAGACTCCTCGATTACTTAGCGTGTCAACCAAATCCATTATGGCCACAACAGTAAATATACTATTCTATTTACAAACCCCACCCTAATATTTCCTATTTTCCTCAAATGCTTTTGTCTTTTTCTACCCAAACAAACCCTCTAAAGCCCTTTTCTTTCTCAGCTTCTCTAAGCAGCTCACTCCATAACCGTCATCTCTTTCCAGGTGTCGTCCTTTCTTGCCATCTCACAGCAGCTCCCTTCTCTTTAAATGTATGTTCATTTGTGACTTTGTATCTTGGTAGATTGTTTCTTGTCATGTCGATGGATTATCTTTAGCCAACTTTGATGCAAGGTAAATTTTTTTAATTGGAATACCTGTGTATGTGGCACATGTTGTTGTCTGTCTCAACCACGAAATAATGGATGTTGTATTTTTGTAGATCCTATCATAACTTCGGTGATCATTCGTCAGCTGGGTGGATCTGTTGTGGATACTCATATTGTCGCGAGACTTATTCATATGTGGACGGCAAAAGAGTGTGTCTGTATGAACAGTCATCCTGTTATGTATACATTTTAGGTTGACAGAGAGGTTGTGTTTCTGTTGTGGTTTATTTACATGTTCGAGTTGCTTGTTATTGTGATGATTTGTATGAGTTTTCGGATGCAGGAGGACATCATTGAAGGTGTTGCCGTCCCTGGGGATAGTGGTGTTGTTGGTGCCCTTATTCCTGTTGGTGGGATATACAACATGAAACTTGTGCCCTTGATCCTGGCCAGGACTACAGGAAATCCACTACGAAATGCTCCGTGTGATTTGCGATTTCGTTTGACAAGAACCCAGTCATTTGTCGAAATTCCTAACAACAATCCGCCGAGATTGGCTTTATTTCCCTTTGATGATTTTAGGGACACACAATTTGAGGATTTGGTACAAATGTGTTATGATTCGCAACACTTGGCAGGTGATTTTTTCGTTTGTTAAGTTTAAATATCTTTAATTGGACGCTAACATTTGTCTATTTTCATATGTAAGTAGGCGTGTTCTTTCTTGGTCGGATTAACACAATATCTCAAATAGATGCATGTCATTTGATATTGTTCTCAAGAATTCAAGGTCATTGTTCGTACTTCCGGTGATTTATTATGTTTGTCGTTTGATGTTTTTTAATTTTTTCCAATTGATGTGCAGGAATAGGTTTGTAACCAATGAGTACATTGGTAAACATGATCATTATATTGGAGAACTTGCTGGCATAGGTGAATTATTATCTTCTGTTGTGCTGACTTTTGCTAGCAATTTGGTTGCGAAGTCTACTGAATCAGATGACCTGGGTACATATTGGGGCATATGATTATTTTATTGCATATATTGTATGTTGTATATGGGATCCATTATTTATATCTTTATTGTCAACGTAGGCATGGTATCCAAATGATCAATCGTGGTAGACGGTACTATCTTGATGTAATTCCTCGTTTTCTGTGGTTATGTCTTTTTGTTATGTATCACATTGTAAGCGGTTGTTATTGTTGTGTGTTTTCTGTCAAAATTTGGTGACCTTGTGTTTTTTATGGCATTTTTTATCAAATGTTATATATATATATATATATATATATATATATATATATATATATTAGGAGATGGTCCTCTTTGTAGAGTTGTAGTTGAAGTTTTTTTCTTGCGGATGGTCACGTTAAAAGTTCATGTGAACTTACCTTTGATATTTTACAACTTAATTTGGATAATTAGCAAAGTTTATGGTTATTTTAATAGTATACAGGTTATAATATTGTTAATTTATGCTTTTTCATTTTAACATTGACCGAATATTGATGGATCGAAAAGTACATGTAGATCTACATGGATTGTCGGTTTGCGTGGTCGACAAGGGGTGCATGTGGTGCACTTATTGTGGTAGCTCTTTTTTTTTTTGTAATGAAGAAATAGTTTGGTAAAATTTAGTAAAGTTAGTGCATCTATTGGGGATGGGGAGAAAAGAGAAAATAAAGAGAAGAGGGAACTGATGGAAAGGAAAAGGAGAAACAAGTATGCTGGGAAAGCTATAAGGCATCCCATATAAAAAGTAGTGCTACTATTCGCTGTGAGTCTATGATCGACATAGGAAAGACTAAAAAGGTTAGAGTAAAAAAAAAATAGTTGCAATTATTTGATTAAAGTATCCTGTCGAACATGTCAAATCGTTCATCTTTCTTTGGATGGCCAATTTCATGTACGTATTGCTATATAATAATGTATATTTTGCTCGTGATCTTGAAATATATCCCAGAGTAGTGCATATGTCAGTTTGCAGTAAAAAAACGCTTCATTTGCGAAACTGAAACACCAAAATGTCATTGTTTTCTCGCATGAGGGAGCTAAAACACTTTGTGCAATCTATGATCGATGAGGTACACGTCTTTATTTCTTTGGTTTAGTTACTTAGCCCATCATTGATTCGTTTTTTTCAATCTTTGTAAATTCATGTTGTGTTGAAGGGAATTTTGGACCATCAGTTTTCCCAAGTTCGGGCTCTCCAGGATGCTACTAATCCTGAATTCGTAGCTGAAGTTATCAACTCTTTTTGTCGCGATGGTGATAGGATCGTCAGGGAGATCAACAGGGATTTGTATGATGTTTGGCTATTTTTCGTACCTTGCATTGTAATTCCGTCTATTTTTTTTGTGTCATTATGGTCGCCAAAATTTTAAAACGCCGGTTATTAATTTTTTGTCTGTGCGCTTTGCAGAGGTGCTGTTGACGTGAATTTTTCTAAAATGGAAGAATCATTGCATCAAATTAGAGGCAGTAGCTCCACGTTGGGATCTTGAACTTTCTTTTTTTAATGTTGTTCGTCATTTTCCACAGGTGTTTCAGTGTGTGTTGTAAAGTTTAATCTGTGTTGTTTTGTATTTTTAGCATTGGGGCACGTCGGCTGAAGGTTGTTTGTGACGAACTTCTTCAAGCATGCATTGACAGAAACAAGGATAGGTTAGTTCACCGTATTCTTGAATATCAAAACAATTTTCTGGGTGTGTGGGTTGCATAGTTCATTCCTTAAAGCATCTCTGTATTTTTTTACAGGAGTATACGTGTTGCTAATGATGTCACTCGAGAATATTGCATTCTTCGCAACAAGTTAGGAAGTGTACTTGAGGTAGAAAATTTTGCGTTATATATTTATTTTACACTTTCTGAAAGTATAGACAATTTATTGAGCTCGTCCTTTTATTTCCAGATGGAGGTTGCAATTTTGGCAATCCAAAGATCTCAGAACTAGAGCATGGTTGGAGGGGGTTTGGTAGTACGTGTTTCTGTTGTTTAATGTATCTTTGGGATATTTTTTAATATTGTTGTCAATGAACGATGATCTTCGTGTATGAATTGTTGTTTTTGGGAATTGACTTTTTACATTTTTGCTTTGCTTCTTCATTATATATGTGACGATTATGGTTAGTCGTTTAACCAGAATGTTAATTGTTGTTGGAAATCGTTCAACGTGTCGTCGTAAGTTAAATCCGTGAACCACTGCTCATTGCAAGGTGGGCATGAATCTGGCTTCTGTTGGGTGTCGAATGTCCTTTGAGGATATTGGTTCCTTGGAGGGTATCTTTTATCAGTTTGGTAGGTTGGTTAGTCGTTGTGATTTGGTTGTAGTAGTTACGGGTTGTATCTACTTTATATTGTATTTTGTCCATGTAATGCTGTTTGTATTTGCTAAAAAAATGCGTCGATCTGATGAAAATTAATTTTGACGTGACTGTTGTTGTTTTTTATGTCTATATTGGCATCCATCTTTTCCTTCATTTTGGTCTGAGCCATGATTGTAATCACGACATTTTGTGGATGTGTATGTACATGTACGAGTATAAATGATCAAACAATCATGGTATTGGCTTTAGCCTTTTCGACCAGTGAAAATTATACCAGTTTATCGTAGTGGACTACAACTATTTGTAAAAAAGTTTAAACAATTACAAGTTATATTTCTTGAGATAAACATTTTAATTATCAATATTTTTTCATAGTTTGTTATCTAAAATTTTCCTCAGCTATTACATAAATATGCGTGACAGGAATGGTACATACGTATGCATCATATTTTTTTGCAAGCACGTAAAGAGAATGGTATTGTATATTATTGTAACCGACATAACTTTCGAACCAGACACACCAAACCACTACAGATCTCTGTTCATGCGCTGATGAATTATCTGCTAAGCACGAAAAATGTTAACTTCCAAAATAAAATCAATGGAATCCACTTTTTGGAATAGACAAACGTCGCCAACTTGTAGTGAATGCTCGTAGCAAAATGAAAGCCAATTTCTGCCAATGAGCCTTACACTGGACTCGCTTCTTCTCTTCAATCTTATGTTATACTTGGTACCCCTTGCAACGAGGAATACATTGTCGCATTCGTCCGTAATGTATTTTTTTACGAAGTCACGAGGCACGAGCTACACCAATGAAATATAACTAATTAAATTAATTCAACGTGTGCAATTGATAATATTTGATATGATGTAGAGTAATTGTATTACGGGTTTTGTGCGGCCTGTGATTTGTGTACGGGTCATGACTGTTATGTATGACGGATATTTGGGGTCTGATAGTATTGCTTCTATTATTGGCCTCCTACACCTTATGAGTGGATCGTACATTGATAGACGCAGGATTCGAGTTGAGTAGATTCCCTTCTCTATTCCAAGTTTCATGACCGCGCTGAAATGTTCTGTAATGTATTATTTCAAAACATTAGTACATATATAATTGTGAAGATGAAGATGTGCCGTTATTGAATAGTAGTTTAAAAATCAAGAGAAATATGGTTGAACCATAGTGATAGTGTACTTACCATCATCTGGTTGTCGAATTCTTTCTGTGCCTTTTACCGCCAACTTTATCGAATGACGTGCAGTCGCGCCAATATCTTTTGGATTGCTGCTTAGAGTGGCCACATTTTTTTCTCTGATGACTTCTGTGTTATTCTTTTTTCCGATATCGGAGTTAAAGAACGAGCGACCATTGAGGTTGAATATATTGACTGTAAAATTACTCATGCCAGTGTATTTAAAATGGAGGACACAACCAATAGTTACTGAATAATGTTGCATAAATTGGTGCAAATTATCAGTGAAAAATAATGATTGTGTGTCTGCTTCCCTGTTAACTCCGATTATCCAAGAATCTCCCGTTGGTAATTGAAAAATTGTCGGTGATGAGAGCTCCGACCCATATTTGTGAGTAAAATTCAATGGAATATCCTGGTGTCACAAAATCAGACGATTCAGAGTTATAATTTTACCAATTATGGAAGTTTGACGACATGGGTGCGCTGCTATAGAAAAGGATATAACATAAAATAACTTACCATTTTATGTTGGGTGAGGAACTGGGGGCTTATGGTTACAAAAAAGCACGAGCATGGAACGATGATTGTGTAATCCTTCATCTTGCAAGGATCTGCTTCCTCTGCCGTGCTTGCTATAATAAAGCGGCTCTTCAGATCCTCCCACACTTCCATGGCAGATTCAAACCATGGCAAGCTTTTTACGATGCTAGGATCAATGGACTGGTATATCCATCCTTTTACCATTGCGTTAGCTTCATCCCATGCAAGAGACACCGTGTCGATGCCTAACGGTCTTTCGGAGCTTCCATCAATGAATGAAATTTTATTCTTCAAGCACAATGCTGTTTGAATTGAAGTAGACCAATATCCATAGTTTTCTCCGTTGAGAGTCGTGGATATTAACACCATAGAATGATTATCATTTGGGTGGAGGCGGTAAGGGTGACCCTCGTGAATATCTGACATCCTGCGACACAAGTGGTTGAAGTAATATGTTTTTGTTGGTGTATCAAAGATTGTGCGGGCATAGGTATAAAATGTTTATGATACTTGTAGAATGACTTTGCTAACAATATATAGATATAGATTTGTTCGTTTCATTGCAAAGAAAAAAAATTAAATTATGTTATGCACGAATTCCAATGATATTCTATGCAACAGTATTTATTTTATTGAAGATCAAATGCAATCTTGTAATGTTCCTACTTTTACCTATTTTAAAATAAATTTTTTAAATTCTAGGTACCAATTTGTCAACATACTGTGAGCGCATGTTACATTTTTTGGTATAAAAAACAATCTCATCTTGAGGATTTGTTTTGTGGAATTGAAGACTCCGCGTGGAGTTGGACAACTAAGGATTGATGTCATGAACCATGGTCCGTTACTGTGTGCGCACATTGGTTGTTGTTTTGTTGAATAATCATATCAAGTAAAATATTTATTGGTAAATTGTTAATATTTTTTTGTCGGTAAATTCATATTCATAATAATTGCAACTTTTTCTTCCTTTTGTCAATACGCAATTGTGACATAGAAAGTATTATTATGTATATGCCATGATTGTCTGTCAATGAACGTTGTTTTTTTTTTGTTGTTGTAAACAATCCGGTTCATTAATAATGAGCATTTCAAGTGCTATTACTCGAATTTGTTGGAGTGCATTTTTTAAATATTTTGTATGTTTTGTTAATAATTTATTGTGTTTCTATCTAATGTTAATGTAAAATGGTTTGTACTTTGCATATATGTATTTATATGTAGTTGCTTCTTAATTATTATAATTATGTGTTGTGTTTATTTATTAATATTATGATATTAATTAAAATGTTTACGTTGTTGTTTGTCAAATCTGTAACTAATTATAATTTTCATATGATAACTTGGAGTCACTCACGCATTATCCGCAGCGGAGCGCGGGCTTAGTTGCTAGTAATGGATCAATATCCACCACCCAAACGGGGCTACAATCTCCACCCGCATGCTTCAACACTTGGCTCCGAACAACCCCATTTCAAACCAAGCTTTGGCCCACTTAATTGGCCCAACATAAGCTGTTGTTGTGGCTCTCCGCGAGTTCGAGGAAAGAGGAAGTCGAGGGTTTGCGAGACCCAGGATGTCGTCGCCATCTATTTTTCCTCCCCGCTGCAGAACTTCCTTCGTCGGCGGCGGCCTGCCCACCCGACGCCCGGATGATACACCAGTCTTCGATGCCCCACTTTCTGGGTCCGCCTTCAGGGCCTTCGTCGTCGTCGCTCCTACTCGCCAATTAGCCGACGAGGATTCCCCACGATTTGGCTCTGCATCAATCGACGTCACAACGGGGGTTGCCTTCGAATAGCTGCCCAACACCATCATCACCAACGGTGCCATCGGCAGCGCTGGCGCCTCTCGTGCTGTTCGCGCCTCCTACCAAATACCTCTCTCCCCTGTTGCCGCCTCCTCGTCGGTCGGCTCCACGAGCGGCTCCCCATTAGTCAATCCCTATGTCTTCTTCCTCGTGGCTCCGATCTCTTGCTCTGCCTCCCTGACTATCGTCGATGGTTACCCGACTCGCATTGCTCGCGAGTGAACCCAGCAATTAGCACTTGCCTCCCCGTCGGTCGGCCCCAACTTCTCCTCCGGCACCTCAACCGCCGATCTCGAGATCTCCACCAGGTGGGTAGAAGTTGGAGAGACTACTCCCATCTCCGGCTGCGTCCTTGCTGCAAAAGGGGGCGCCGAGAATCGCTGTGCGATCTTTAGCTCCGGCGAGTTCAGCCCACAGCTCGAGCCCATGGTTGAGGATGATCGAACGTCGGGCGGTTTCTTTGTTAGTAGCGTGACCGAATTTATGAAGTCCATTGTGGCATTGGAACTCTCTCCCGGGCCTTCTTCCTTATTTTTTGCATCTGAACTTGCCTGGTTTGTAGCAGTGGCCGCAGCGACGGGTGACGGAGTCGTTGATTTTTTCTTCGACAACGAGCAGCCCATCAGACGGTGGGGAGACCAGCCCGATCTCATCCCTGTCTTCTCAACGGCCGGCGTTGCAATTGAGGTCGCGGATGCTAGAGACCTTGGTGACTTCGTCATGGCTGGAAGAACAAGGGGTAAACTCCTGAATTGGGATGGCAGCAGGTAGTGGTGGTAGCAGTACTTGTGCAGGCGATGATGCTTCATCCTACTGAACCGGCGACTGCAGTGGATCAGCAGCGCCATCGACCTCAGGGCTCTCCACCGATGCTTCTCCGTCGTCCATGGTCGCTGCTGTTGCAGCAGCCGCCACACCATTCGCGATCGCTGCCTTGCCATCCGCCGCCGCGCCTTCAGCCGTCGCCATACCCTGCGCCCTCTCCCGCTCTTCCCATTCGTAGCGGTCAAGAGACTGCTGCAACAGCTGGCTGAGACGAATTCATTCTAGATCGAAGAACTTTGATGAGCTCATTCTGAATCTGATACTAGATGATAGAAACCTATTTCTAGGGTTCTATCGAGTGGATTGGGAAATTAGGAACTTGATGGAGATCTAGGGTTTTAAAAGATGGAATTAGGGATTTGAGATGAGAATTGGGAAAGACAGAGATAGAATGGTCGGCGACCTAGATGTAAGAGAAGACCAGATTGGGAGAAGAATAAGGTTTAGGGAGAGATACTTTTCTTAATTCTTTCTTGATTGCCTCTTAAACGAATAACCGAATACACTTATATAGGAAAAGAGCTGAAAACCTAACAATAAACCTAAACTTAACAACCAAGTAATTATTTAACATAATAATTATCTCTAGCATGGATATGGTAATTATAAGGCCTAATACCAGAAAATGCCAATAGTTTGGAGTTTGGGTCATTTGTTGCCCTATGTTTATCCCGTATGTCAGTTTTTTCCTACCTGTTTCGTTGACTGTTAGACTTGACGGTCAACCTAACGGCGGTCAACATATTGTTGACTTTGTGCCCCACGTGTCTGCCATCTCACCGACACGTCAGAATTATTTTTTTATTGAATGAAAAAAAATTCACTCACATTTTCACCCACCACTTATATTCCTTCTATCTTTATCTTCCTCATTTTATCTCTTTCCACGAACAGAGCAGGAAGAGATGCGGCGGTGACCAAGACAAGAGCGGGTTGGGGGAGCAGATAGCAGAGACGGCGCGATTTGGTGGAATCAGGGGCAGCGAAGACGAAGCCGGGTGGAGCGAAGACGAAGCTGGGGGAAGCAAAGACGACGCTGGGGTTGCGGATCGAAGGCAAGAGCGACGAATCGAAGGGTAGACTGACGCGGTGGACTGGGTACCAGATTGGAGGGTTTAATAATCCAAGTTTGTCTCAATGAATGCAAGGAAAAAAGGGAAGAGTTTAAGCGAATCGAGTTGTGCTAGTTCTCATGTGCCTCGGTGCGTTCATAACTGTCCAACTATTGTTTTTTGTCTTTGGAACTGGGAGGAATTCGAGGAGAGAATTTTATCGTTGCCCATTTTTGAAGGAAGAAACGGTGGATTGCAAATACTTTGTGTGGGTGGATCAGTATTGTCCTGGTCGAGAAGAGGATATTGTTCAAGCACTTTCGGCAGAGAATGATAATCTGAAGAAGAAGATTTCTTCACTTAGTATGAGATTGACAACTGGCGAAGATAAGGGCGAGCAAAGGAAGAAGGCAAAGCATCGCTTTTACCATGATTTAGCTGAGCTTAAGGAGGAAAATGTTAGGTTATCTTGTGAGCTGAAGGTGGTGGGAACTAGGTTGTCGTTTGTTTCGTATGTGCTTATACTAGTGGGTTTGACAATGCTCTTTGTATGGTTTCATTAAGTTTTCGTGAGTTTCTATATCTAGTGGTTTGTGAGTTTATGTATGGTTTAAGAGCTAATGTAACTCTACTTTTCAAGTGTCATTGTGGCGTGATTATGAACTAAAAGCAAGGAGCTTAACTATACAGCCAACAAGGATGCTGCCAAAATAGAATTGAAGCAAACAGGGATGCTGTCAAAAGAGAAATGCAGCCAACAAGGGTGTTGTCAAAAGAGAAATGCAGTTACTAGTTCTTGACTATCATCTGTCTACTACTACAAGTACTACATTAAGTCAATTACTACTACGTCTACTACTACTTAGCATCAGACACTACCAACTACTACATATTCGATGGTTGGGTTGCAGGAGGTTGAGATCCACCAACTTCAGCATGTTCAGTAATCATAGGAGTCTCTCCACCTCGACCTCCTCGTCCACCTCGACCTTCTTGTCCACCTCCTTGTCCACCTCGACCACCTTGAACACCTCGACCACCTTGACCACCTCGGCCACGACCCCCTCTTTCACCTCGACCTCCTCGTCCACCTCCTCGTCCACTTCCAGAAGCCTACAATAAGAATCAATAAAGAACCCTTGTCAAGAAACTATTATCCATATCAATTAAGTCAAGCAATGAAGCAAAAGTCTCACCCCAATATCTTGCTGTTGTCTAGGAGGTTGCGGGCATTTTCTTTTGTTGTGCCCTTGCTGGCCACAATTTGTACAGTGGTTGGGAAGATTTTTTTCTAACCAAAGCGGTACCTCCGGCTCGATGTGGAGCTGCCTCGAGCTCCCCATGACCTTTCTTCCTCTTCTTCTTTGGACGTCCAGTCATTGCCTTGAACTTCGCGGGGTAAACAGGGTACCCAACAGCCTCGGGCCAAGCTTGTTGCCCATACAAAGCAGGCAGACCATCCATATAGGCATTCTTCGCAAATGAAACATGATAGTACTTTGCCACATAACTAACATGATTAAACCTCTTCCAAGTAATGACAGAAAGGACATGATGGCATGGGATTCCTGTCAAACCCCATTGCCCACATGTGCAAGTCATATCTGTTAAACTTACAACGTACCCTTCAGTTTCGAGCGCCACCTCAAACTTACCATGCAAGGGTGGACGTGTGGTCCACCGACGAACAGATTCTACACCCTTCTCAATCTGCTTTCGGATCCGAGGACACAATGCATC